ACTTATAAAGGAGACATTTTGCCTATCACTTCATGCATTTGAAGCCCCCAGACAAATTTCCAAGCATCCCATGCATTTGAATCTCCCACATCTTTTCACCTTCAAAGTAATTAATCACATATCATGAAAGGTTGTATAACTTATATAATATGTTTAATAAGCAATTAATGGATAGTTTACTATAAATTTTCCTTTCTCTTTGAGTAGACACAGATACAAATCACATACAAAATTCACAAAGAAAATAAGTTTAACGGTTTTGTGTTGGTTTGAGGGCGTTGGACCATTTTTCCAGCCATGTTATTATGCTAAAGTTTTTAATTTGTAAGTTTGTTATATACTAATTCTTTTGTTTATATTTTTCTTGGTTTCAGTATTCTTTTAAGATAATTATTGTATGTTGGTTGAAACTTTAATGTAAAATATATTAGATTCACGTTATCGATCATATGTTATCGAAAGTGATATTGATAATATTTAATTAAATATTGTATATATGTTTGTATGTTTGTGTTGCTTCAAAGTAATAATTAATTAAAAATCATGGATATGCAATTCCATAATATCCATGTAAGTCTCTTTTAAAATGCAAATTGTCTATTTATCACTTTATATTTTAGTATATGTATAATATTTTAATTATAATAATAAGTGTCTTTAAAAAGTTTTTTCCGTTTATTAATAATGATAAGTGGTTTTAAAACTAATGAATCATAATTATAAATAATAAAATCAAATTATAAAAGTCATGGATATGTCATATTATCCACGCAAGTCTTTTTTCAAATGCAAATTGTCTATCTTATCACTTTATTATTTAGTGTATGTGTCACATTTTAATAGTAACTAGGCGAATACCCGCGCGTTGCGCATAAACACCTATATAGTTGAAGCATTTACAAATATATGTTTTTTTTTAAATATAACAATAACGTTATTGTTAAATTTGATATAATAATTTGTATACTAAATTGATATAATATATAGATTATTTTGAACTATATGATAATATATAAATCTATTAGAACTGCATAATCTCAATTGTTTGTATAACTTCTATCAGTGAGTTACTCATGAATAAATTTAAATATAATATATGGTTTAATGTTATTTATAGTTGTTGTTATTAATAATTAATTTTTAAAAGTTATTTGCTTAATATTTTAATTTCTATCATTATAACTTGTTAAAATATCAAACATTGTTTTTTTTTAATTTAAAGGTAACAATATAATTATTTATATAGATTTATTTTTAACTATTTTAATTATAAATTATTTTAAGCTACTTATTTGAAAATTTTTCAAGATTATAAAAATATCTTTAGGAAATATTTTAGTTAAATTAATATTACAATTTAGTTTTTGTATTTATCACTACAATTTATCACTTTTAACTATTTACAAAATATTCTTTGGTTTTTTAAGTGAAACTGAAATTTATATTTAAGTTGACACTATAATTTTATATTTAAATTAACAGTTTAAGTATTTTGTCCAAACTGTTCAAAAGTTGTAGCTTTAAACTGATAATGGTTTACACATAACAACATTTTAAATATATTGAATTAAGTATAATATGTTAAAACTTAAAGACATAAGTTTATAAGTATAAGTAAATATATTATTTTAAAATTGAAATTTAGTTTATTTATGATTACACTTTAGGTTTGATATTTATTTAACCTTAATAACCAACTTATAATTATTATTAGAAAGACACTACAATTTATCATTTTTTAACTATTTACAAAATATTTTTTGGGTTGTTTAAGTTAAACTAAAATTTATATTTAAGTTGACCCTATAATATTATATTTAAATTAATAATGTAAGTATATTATATAAATTGTTCCAAAATTGTATCTTTAAAATAATAATGGTTTACATCCAACAATATATTAAAACTAATAAATTAACTATAATATGTTAAAAGTTAAAAAACATAATTTTATAAGTAGAAGTAAAGATATTATTTTAATATTGAAATTTAATTTATATATGATTACACTTTAGGTTTGATATTTATTTAACCTTATTAACCAACTTATATTTATTATTAGAAAAAATTGAAAAGCCAAGGAAGTTTCAAATGAATGTGGGGAAAGGGAAAATGCATGTGAGTTTCAAATGAATGTGGTGAAAGGAAAAAATGCATCATTTATAAGTAGAAATAAATATGTTATTTTAATAAAAAAAACATAATTTTATAAGTAGAAGTAAATATATTATTTTAATATTGAAATTTAGTTTATATATGATTACATTTTAGGTTTGATATTTATTTAACCTAATTACCAAATTATAATAATTATTATTATTATAAAGAAATTGAAAAGTCATAGGAGTTTCAAATGAATGTGGTGAAAGGAAAAAAGAATAGGGGTTTCAAATGCATGAGATTCAAGAAAAAATGTTAGCTTTATAAGTATGTATGATATTAAGTGTTTTTTAAAAGTTTTTTTTAACTTATTAATAATAATAAGTGGTTTAAACTAAAGAACCATAATTTTAAATGATAATAACATCAATTTATAAATTACATAACGTTAACAACAAATAAATTGTCTTTTAAATGAACATCATTATTGAAATTAGAAAATAATCGGATAAGTAAAAATTTAAATTAATCAATCATAACAATTGTTAAAAATAATATTAAATAGATAAGTATATTTAATTTTATTAATGAGGAAGGTGGGTTGATGTCAATAAATAATATTGTTCAAACTATTATGTCAAAGTTGATATCAATAACATAACCATTTTAAACATATAGTTTTCAATATTTTAACAATATATATTTTTAACCTACGTTGTGCAACGGGCGAGAATTCATCTAGTATACTTATAAAAGAGATATTTTTACTTGCACCACATGCATTTGAAACCACTATAGATTTTCAATTTCTTTCTAATATTTATTACAAAATGGCTAATAATGTTTAATTAACGCAAATAGTTAACTTATTAGTTTAGATGTGTTGTATGTGAGAATTTGTCGTTTTAAAGTCACAACCTTTGTATAATTTTATGATTTTATGCAAAATATTTAAATTATTAATTTCAACATAATGTTGAAGAGTTAACTTAAATCAAAATTTCAGTTAAACTTGAAAAAATTCGAGAGATTATTTTATAAATAATTAAAAGTTTTAAATTATAGTGTTAACCTAAATTGCAATCATAAATTAACAAAAAAAACCATGAAAACATATTTTATAATCATTAAGAATTTTCAAATAAGTAACTTAAAAATAACTTACCATAAGAATAGTTAAAAGTAAAATTGTATTAAAAAAATTATAATGTTGACTTTTAAAAACAAAAACAACATTTTTTGTTTTAAATAATTACAATAAAACAAAATTAACAATATTCATCAAATAAATCTTAAAAAAGGTTAAATTTCTGAAACCAAGTTATATATGGGTTATTTTAAAATACTTACAGCAACAATAGTTAAAAGTAACATTATATAAACAAATTATATTATTACCTTTAAAAAACAATGTTCGATGTTTTAAATAAATACAATGATGGAAATTAAAATTTTACGCAAATAAAATTTTTAAATTAACTAATCATAACAACAACTACAAATATCATTAAACCATATATTATATTTAATTTTATTTGTGAATAACCCGCAGGTAAAGACAAATGAAACATTTGAGATTATAGAATTTTAAAAGATGTGTACATTACCACATAACTCAAAACAAACAATGTTTATACCAACTTATTATAAGATTTATTATATAAGAGCTAACAACAATGTCATTGATATATTTAAAAAAACATATATTTGTAAAGATTTCAAATATATTATGTATTTTGCGCAACGCACAGGTATTCACCCAGTTTTTTAATAAAACCCAACAAGTTGATGTCAAAGAATTAATACATGAAGACGGTTGTTACGCATGTCATGTTTTCTTCCTTGTGGTTTTACAAATCTGGAAGTCGTTGTCGGACGAAGTTAGAGTTTGCAAACCATAAACCACCTCGTTCGTTAAAGGAGAAAAAGCGAGCGAGGCAGCAACGACGAAATCCTAACAGTTGTCTCCATCAATGATGAAGTCAAGGAACACGAAGGACGACGTCGACGAAGGCGGTTTTGGTAGGTGACGACTGTGGTGGTTTAGGTAAGGACATTTCTGTTGGTTTTCTACGATAGAGGCAGAGGCAAGGGCATGATTCAAGAATTTACAACAATAATGACACTAATTTATTTTTTTCGCTCAACACATACTAGTAGTTGTATATATTTTTTTAGTGGTTGCACCTTAGTATAAAAAAATAATAAGTTTTTTACATTGTTTTATACTTATAAGATAAAATCGAGTAGTGACCTAAAATTCTGTGGACCTATCACTGGCTAAAGGTAAAATTTAGTCTAAATAGGAGTTTTTGACGAAATTATAAAGAAAAAGAGAGACTCATATAATAGGATTTGGGTGGGATGGAGTTTGGGAGGTTATTAAAGGATAGGTTTATATTTTATTTTGTTTTATTTTAATAAATAGTAAATTAAATAAAAATAAAAGGATGGACAAATAAAAAAAGACAAAAATATCATTTCAAACCCATTTAATTTTAAAATGCAACAAAGAAAACCTATTTTATATGTGATGCTGATTTAGAATTTTTTTTGGATCAAAATAACAAATTTTCAATACTTTTGCAATTTTTTCGATTGTATATTTGTAGTTGCAAGATAAACCTAAACCTAGTTTAGACCATCGATGATCTTGTATAATATCGGACACTACTGGACACATCCACAGCCGCCGCTACTAGTAAGCGTAACGTTTGCAAAAGCAGAAGTTCCACTCTTTTTATATTTTACAAACGTGTTTACTTTTTCTGATTCTTTTTTCCTTTTTCTCCCATGAAAGCTCTGGTCTTTGCCCTATCCACGCCTCAAAAACTGCACATTATAGCGGTACCCCCTCTCCTTCCACAATCTCCTCAGTTTTCCATAATAATCTTCATTCCATGTCTGTCCATTTTCTCGGATCATTACTACTGTCTCATTCTTTCTTAGCAAACCCACTGAAAATTTTTGTCGATTCCTCCAAAAAACAAGACAAGAAGAGGTCTGTTGGTATTCACAATTCAAGAACACAAGTTCTTGAATGTAATAACAATTATGCCAAATTCTGCAGACCCGATTACCCTGACCAGTTTTCCTGCGTACCCATCTCAGAGATTCAAACACAACCCGTCCCTGTACACAAAGATGGAGAAGACGAAGAAGATGAGGATCTGTGGGTGACAATGAAAGACGAAGCTCGATCAAACGTTCATCAAGAGCCCATTTTGTCAAACTATTATTTCAGCGCAATCTTGTCTCATGATGTTATCGAGAGCGCTCTGGCTGATCATCTTTCCGTGAAGCTTAGCGATTCAAGTCTCCCTAGTGGGACCCTATACGATCTTTTCATGAGTGTGCTTACAGATGATTCAGAGATTGTTACAGCCGTTAAAGATGATTTGAGGGCTGTAAAGGAAAGGGACCCCGCTTGTATCAGTTATGTGCAATGTTTCTTGAATTTTAAGGGTTTTCTTGGGTGTCAGGCTCACAGAATAGCACACAAGCTATGGTCACAAGATAGAAAGGTGGTAGCACTTGTGATACAAAACAGGGTGTCGGAGGTGTGTGCATTGGATATACACCCCGGAGCAAAGATTGGGCGGGGGATATTGCTTGATCATGCCACCGGAGTAGTCATCGGGGAGACTGCTGTAATTGGGAACAACGTTTCAATTTTGCATAACGTCACATTGGGTGGAACTGGGAAGATTAGTGGTGATAGGCATCCTAAAATTGGAGATGGGGTTTTGATTGGGGCAGGAACTTGTGTTTTGGGTAATGTTAGAATTGGCGATGGGGCAAAGATAGGGGCAGGATCGGTGGTGTTAAGGGATGTTCCTGCTAGAACTACTGCTGTTGGGAATCCTGCAAAACTCATTGGTGGGAAACAGAATCCAGTTAAGCTTGATAAGATTCCTGGTCTTACAATGGATCATACTTCAGATATAAGTGAGTGGTCTGATTATGTTATTTAAAGTTTTAACTTTTAAACAAACAGGAGGTGGGATTGTATTCTAGGGTTCAGGGGATATCTGTTGAGTTGACTTCTTGTTTGTTTGGCATATTGTATATCAGTATATCTCTGAGTTTAATGCAGGCAGGTTATGTCTATGATTAATAAATAAAAAGAGACTTTGAGGTCTTGAAAAGTTTGTAAATGTTTTTTTAGTAATTAGTTCTAATCCATCTCTGATTTGGTTTGCTGTACTACAAGTTTTGTGGAAGTTGGAACAAGAAATCTGATCCTTGAAAGGGTCAATGATTTGACTCTGAGATCCTTATGATGTTATACTCTGGTTTGTCCTTAAATCACAATTTCCTGTCTTATAGTATCTGTATCGACATGTTCAAGAGCATCTTAGGCTGCATTTTTTGGCGTGTTTCATGTTTCATCTATAATCATAGTTGTACCTATCTTTTAGTATTGGTATTGACATGATCAAGAGCATCTTAGCTTGCACATTTTTGTTCTTTATGAAGCATGCTCATAGTGTTAATCACTGACTTTCCATTTTTCCAAATGAAGATATATATATATATATATATATATATATATATATATATATATATATATATATATATATATATATATATATATATATATATATATAAGGACAGATACCGAACCGAACTGAAGTGATCTCTAATACAAATCCTGAATGGAGTTTGCTTTCTATTTCCAAACCCTTTTTACATTACTCTTCATGCTTATGGTAATCAAAGTGTTGAGGGGATCCAAAACACCCCCCAATCTACCACCTGGACCAAGGAAACTTCCCATCATAGGAAACATTCTTGATGTTGCGGGACCACTCCCACATCATACTTTAAGAGACTTGGCTCAGAAATATGGACCATTGATGCACTTACAACTCGGAGAGAATTCCACCATCATTGCCTCTTCAGCAGAAACTGCAAAAGAGGTTATGAAAACCAATGATATAAACTTTGCCAATCGCCCTTTTCTTCTTGCTGCACATATCATATCCTACAAATCCACAAACATCATGTTTTCACCATATGGAGACTATTGGAGACAGCTGCGCAGGATTTGCAATTCAGAGCTTTTAAGTGCAAAGCATGTTCAATCACTTGGACCAATAAGGGAAGAAGAGGTCTCTCATCTCATCACCACTGTCTCCAAACATTCAGGATCGCCAATCAATCTCAGTCAGCATATCTATGCACTCACGTATGGGATCCTTACAAGATCAGTCTTTGGAAAGAAGTTAAAACAACAAGAAGCATTGATATCACTTATTGATGAAGCTTTAGGCATCTCTGGAGGGTTTAGTCTTACAGACCTGTATCCTTCTTCTAAAGTGATCTCCTTTCTTAGTGGGCTCAAGCCAAAACTTGAAAAGATTCATGAAAGATTCGATAAGATGCTAGATGACATCATCGAAGAACACAAAGCACAACAAGTAGGAAATGGAAAAGTAGACTTGAATCATCATCTGCTATTTGATGTCCTTCTCAAACTCCAGGAGCATGGCAAACTTGAGCTTCCATTGACCATGGACAATATCAAAGCAATCATCTTGGTGAGTAAATAAGTAAATTCATACCCAAATTAATTTATGATAATTGACTGTTCATCATCTGTCAGGATATAATATCTGCTGGTAGTGACACATCTTCAACAGTGATAGAATGGGCGATGTCAGAGCTGCTGAAGAACCCTGAAATAATGGGAAAGGCACAAAATGAGGTTAGAAAAGCTTTCAGCACAAAAACAAGAGTCGATGAAAGTGGCATCCAATCATTGGAGTTTCTCAAGTTAATAATCAAAGAAACTCTGAGATTACACCCTCCAGCACCTTTGATGTTGCCCATGGAAAACAGGGAGAAATGTGAGATCAATGGGTATGAGATTCCAGTGAGGACAAAAGTGATTGTGAATGTGTGGGCGATTGGTAGAGATCCAAAGTATTGGAAAGATCCTGAAAGGTTTCATCCAGAAAGATTTCTAAACAGTTCAATAGATTACAGAGGTGTTGACTTTGAGTACATTCCATTTGGTTCCGGAAGGAGAATATGTCCAGGTATCTCTTTTGGATTGGCTAACCTCGAGCTTCCACTCGCCTCTCTACTCTACCACTTTGACTGGAAATTAGCAGACAGCTGCAGGAAGAATGAAGATCTTGACATGACTGAAGCTTTTGGTGTAACTGTTAAAAGGAAGACTGTTCTTAATCTTATTCCAACACTCTGTTAGACTGTTACTGTTATCCTCCTCCTGTTTACTAAGCTTATATATATATATATATATATATATATATATATATATATATATATATATATATATACTAGCCGTCTACCCGCGCAAAGCGGCGGGGCACGTGAGTTCTTTCGGTGATATGTTTCCATTACAAAATTGTTATGTTAAAAAAAAGTACATGTTGAAGACAATATAATCAAACTATGGTGTTATTTGTTACATCATGCATCAAATAACCAATAAAAAGCAACCAGTCAAGACGACACAAAATATTAATCGTGCAATACTTCTTTATATACCACATTTGCTGTATAAACCCCATCACCTTTTGAATTTTCGTTAGGCTTTACTAATACTTTTGTATTGCAACGTGAAACCCCTCTGGACAATGCAACATAAAGTTGTCCATGCGAGAATACTGGTTCTGGAAGATAGATACCTACATATGGAATTGTTTGTCCCTGAGCTTTATTGATTGTCATTGCAAAGCACAATCGAATAGGAAACTGTTTCCTCATTAGAGGATCGATGGTTGCTACTAATTGCTTGTAACTGGTATTGGTTTCATATCGATGGATGTGGATTCGCATATGAAATCAATTGTGTTCGCATCTATGAAATCAGTTCGCATATGACAACAATTGAGTTCGCATTTGGTTTTGTGGGTCAAAACAGTTCGCATAAGAAGTTCACGATTTGTTTGAGGTTAATTGATTTTGATTTCGCAAGCTTGGAGTCGGAGATCTGGATTGTGTTCGCATCTATAGAATGCGAGGAGAATTTAATGGTGATATTCAGTTCGCATTTGGTGACACAAGTACGTGGTTGATGATTTTTGGTTGGTTCGCATTTGAAATTAGTGGGTTTCGCATTTGGCTTCGTATCTGGGTTTCTCAAACAACTGAAATGCGAATATGAGACAACTGATTAATTTCTCAGTTAATGCGATGAAATGCGAATGAACTCAAAGACGGATGGATGCAAGATGCGAAGAATTTGAATGAAAATGCGAAGTTTTTAATGTATAAATGCGAATTGGGGAAGAAAGCTTAGAGTTTCGCATTTGGCACCTGATCTTTTCAAGAAATAATATAAGTGGTCCAACTTCGCAAAATGGGGTCATTTAATCAGAAAATCGATCATTCTTCAAATATGACATTTAATCAGAAAATCGATCTAAAAATGAGACATTTGGTGTTTATCGATTTTTCAGGGTCGACGGGTTGTATGAAAAGCGAAGGCTGAGTAATTGAAAATTAGAGGATCGATGGTTGCTACTAATTGCTTGTAACTGGTATTGGTTCTAATTGCTTGTAACTGGTATTGGTTTCATATCGATGGATGTGGATTCGCATATGAAATCAATTGTGTTCGCATCTATGAAATCAGTTCGTATATGACATCAATTGAGTTCGCATTTGGTTTTGTGGGTCAAAACAGTTCGCATAAGAAGTTCACGATTTGTTTGAGGTTAATTGATTTTGATTTCGCAAGCTTGGAGTCGGAGATCTGGATTGTGTTCGCATCTATGGAATGCGAGGAGAATTTAATGGTGATATTCAGTTCGCATTTGGTGACACAAGTACGTGGTTGATGATTTTTGGTTGGTTCGCATTTGAAATCAGTGGGTTTCGCATTTGGGTTCGTATCTGGGTTTCTCAAACAACTGAAATGCGAATATGAGACAACTGATTAATTTCTCAGTTAATGCGATGAAATGCGAATGAACTCAAAGACGGATGGATGCAAGATGCGAAGAATTTGAATGAAAATGCGAAGTTTTTAATGTATAAATGCGAATTGGGGAAGAAAGCTTAGAGTTTCGCATTTGGCACCTGATCTTTTCAAGAAATAATATAAGTGGTCCAACTTCGCAAAATGGGGTCATAAAAAGACAAGTGCAGAATTTTCATTTCGCATCCCTGTAGTCTTCGCAAAATGGAAAATTTTACCCAGTTTCGCATTTGGGGTAAATTTTTTTGAGAAATTGGAATATTTTCAAACTTTTTTTCTTAAAAAAACACATTGTCTTCGTCTAAGAGAGGGAGAAAAACGATTAGGGTTTATAAGGGAAATACTTCATGGCAGTGGGATTTATAGCAGGGTTTATAAGGTGGAGAGAACAAACACACGTCTGCTATGAGATATTTTAATCAGCTGCAAATGCAACATTTAAAGGATATTTGTTGAAGCGTATTAGGATGAAAAGGTTTTAAATTTTGAATGACCATGAAATTAGGATTTTGCTGAGAAATATAAGGAATCAAAACAAATTTAAAATTTAATATTATTTTATTAATGGTTGTTTGTAATATTAGCTTACTCGTTTGTACGTCTTAAAAAAATAATATTATTATATTCAATCTATTTATAGAAATAGTTAGATTTCTTTTATAAGTAGTAAAGATATATATATATATATATATATATATATATATATATATATATATATATATATATATATATATATATATATATGTGTGTGTGTGTTTCTCTTCTTTTCAGCTTTCGTAAAACTCTTTTTTTAACTGTGTAATTCTCCTTCTCAATAGGACTAGATAGGAGGATATTGTACAACCTGGAATTGGATTTTAACAATGGTTTTTGTCTTTATTTGTTTTAATATTGTTATTGTTACTTCTAACAATGTTTATTGTCTTTATTCATTTTAACAATGTTTTTTGTCTTTATTTATTTTTGCAATTCCAACAATTATATATATATATATATATATATATATATATATATATATAT